AGGGTCGTAGGGTCTTAGTGTCTTAGTGTCTTAGGGTCTTAGGGTCTTAGGGTCGTAGGGTCGTAGGGTCTTCGGGTCTTAGTGTCTTAGGGTCTTAGGGTCGTAGGGTCTTCGGGTCTTAGGGTCTTAGTGTCTTAGGGTCTTGGGGTTTCGGGATCAGGGTTTTAGGGCCCTGAGGGCTGACCTGGCCTGGTATGCCGACTCGGAGCAGATCGACACGCAGGTCACCGGCTCGCTTTCGTGGAAGGGGAGGGCGTGCGCCACTACCTGAACAGGGACTGCCAGAAGGGTTTAGGGTTTAGGGTTTGGGGATTAGGGCTGAGGGCTGCTTGAAGTCGGAGGTAAGAGTTGAGGTTCTTGGGACTCAGGAACCCTGAACCTCAAACCCACCCAGGTCGCCTGGCCGGGCGTGTCGGACCCTACCCATATCCAAACTGGACGAAGCACCGCCCTAAAGCCTAAACCCTAAACCCTTTATGTAACGCCGCGATGCAATAGGCCATGGGCTGAACCCCAAACTCTAAATCCCAAACCCCAAACCCTAAACCCTAAACCCCAAACCCTAGACCCCAAACCCTAAACCCTAAACCCCAAACCCTAAACCCTAAACCCCAAACAAACCGTACTTCTGCCTCACCCTTCCGCGAGTCGATAAGGAGAGCTTCCCCCTGACTGGTGCCCACAGCCATCCTCACGATACGTCTTGTGACGGTTTCGGGGGGTTTCGGGTTGGTTTAGGGTTTAGAGTTTAGGGTTTAGGGTTTAGGGTTTTGGGTTTGGGGTGTGGGGTTTGGGGTTTCGGGTTTGGGGTTTAGGGTTGACACGGACTTGAAGTCAATGCGATCAATATAAGTGAGACGGCTGATGCTTTAATCAGCATGTGTGGCATATCATGCTTCCAGTTTGGTGATGATGTCATTCAATTTTGCACACTGTTCTTGTAGGACTCCCAACCAAGCGTTTGTCTCTCGCTGAGACAAGGGGTTTAGGGTTTGGGGTTTAGGGTTGAGTAGACTTCCCAATGATAGCTTTCAACCGTGTCAACAACCTTCTGGTAAGTTCCCGTTTGGGGGTGCGTGGGTGCGTGGGTGTTCATGCTACTCGTCTCTTGGAGCCCACAACCCTAAACCCCAAACCTGAACCCCTAAGAAGGCTTGGGTGTTTCTTCAGGTGCTCCATGGGAAGGTTGGGGTTTCAGGGTACATAGGCATTCGGGTATAGGCTTAAGGGTACTTGGGGATTAGGGCCTTATGGTTTTAGGTTTTAGGGCTAGGGTTTACGGCTTAAGGGTAATTAGGGATTCGGGCCTTCGAAATTCAGGGTTTAGGGTTTAAGGGTACTTAGGGATTAGGGCCTACGGGTTTTCGGATTTAACGGTACTTGGGGAATTGGGCCTTCGGGTTTTCAATTTTAGGGCCAGGGTTTAGGGTTTAGGGCTACGGTTCGGATTGGGGCTTACGCATAGAGGCGGCATGGTGCCTAACCTGTCACAGCTTGGTGCCCTCAACCCTTAACCCAGACTCCTTCACCCAGAACTGACCCGAAATCCCTAAACCCCAAACCCTAAACCCTACACCCCAAACCCTACACCCCAAACCCTAAACCCCAAACCCCAAACCCTAAACCCTAACCCTGAAACCCCAAACCCCAAACCCCAAACCCTGAACCCTAAACCCGAAATCCCTACACCCTAAACCCTTTGAACCCAAACCCTAAACCCGAAACCCTAAACCCTAAACCCCAAACCCTAGACCCCAAAAACTACACCCCAAACCCTAAACCCTAAACCCTAAACCTATAGGGTTAAACCCTAAACCCTCAACCCTAAACCGTAAATCCTATACCCCAAACCCCGAACCGTAAACCCTAAACCCTAAACCCTAAATCCTAAACCCCAAACCCCAAACCCTAAACCCCAAACCCTAAACCCAAACCCTAAACCCTAAACCCTAAACCCTAAACCCTAAACCCTAAACCCCAGAACCCTAAACCCCAAACCCCAAACCCTAAACCTAAACCCTAAACCCCTGCACACCTCTCCGAGGCGGGCTCGGGCCAGTCCTGGTGGTGCCTCGTGGCTCGACAAAGGCGCAGGTGATGTGCCCAGCCACCTCGCAAGGGGTAAAAGGGTTTAGGGTTTAGGGCTTAGGGCTTTTTAGGGTTTAGGGTTTAGGATTTTAGGGTGTTCAAGGTTTCGGGGCGTTTAGGGTTCTTGGGGTGTTGTCAGGTGGCTTCTTGACCCGGTGCACGTTCGTTTTCTCAGAGTTAAGATAGCTTTAAAGAGCGTTAATTGGGGAGCCCTTATATCCTTAAACCCCTAAACCCCAACCCTGAACCCCAAAACCTTAAACCGGCGCGATAAAGCCCAAGCCTTAACAAGAGGCTACATGAAGACATGGGGAACCAAAGGGCTTAAGTTGGGGTTTAGGGTTTAGGGTTTAAGGTTTAGGGCCAGGGTTGTACCTAAGCTGGGTGTGCTTGGAGCACTCCCCATATTGCCCTTAGACATTTGTTTGCTCAGGGCTTCTTGCAAAACAGCTCGAGGCTGCGGGTCAAGGCTTGTAGGGTTTAGGGCTGGGATGTTCCCCTTGCTGCGGCTTAAGGGTCCCACCCCCCCCCCACCCTGAACAAAAATGGACCTTGCCAAGGCTAGAGAACTCCCGGCCGGCTGCTGGCAGGTCTCGGGATTGAGTGTGTAGGATTGCGCTGTAGGGGTAAGGGCCGCGCCTGCAACCCCTAGTCCTTCACTCGCTGATTCTTAGACAATGAGAAAGGAACTCGGTAGCTTGGCATCAGCTGAAAGCTCGCAGGAAATTTCGGGTTCATTTTGGGGGCCATAATAGCTAGAATTGGGTTTTGGGGGCTGTTAGAGTATAATTACATAGGGACCATAAGGGAATGCCACTAGTATTTTGTTCCGGCCCCTATATTAGGGTTGAGGCTTGGGCTAAGCCATAATACGAAGCTCTAAGGAAGAGACAGCTGTCCCAAACCCGATAAAGCCCCGACCCTAAACCCTAAAAGGCCCCAAACCCTAAACCCTAAACCCCAAACCCCCCCAAACCCCAAACCCCAAACCCTAAACCCCAAACCCCAAACCCCAAACCCTAAACCCTAAACAAACACCCTGTTGAGCCCAAAACCTGTTGGGGTGTAGGGTGGTGTAGGTCTCTGGCTTCATCTAGGAGTTAGGGATGCTAACAGACTTAGTAGAAATTGACCGCGAGCAAATGGTACCTGCTTTGCGCGATCCCCAAAACTTTAGAGGTTTAGGGTTTAGGGTTTAGGGTTTGTTTAGGGTTTAGGGTTTAGAGTTTAGGGTTTAGGGTTGAGGGTTGAGGGTTGAGGGTTGAGGGTTGAGGGTTTAGGGTACAGCAGCATCAGTGCACTCCGTCTTGTGCTGCACGACAACTCTGCCGTCAAGCCGTGTCTGCTTCCTAGAGACCCAGAGAGCCCAATACTCCTTAATGAATATACCTTAAATTATGAAGGGATCCTTAAAATGATAAAAGGGATATTCCTGAATTAAGAGGTATTGGGCTCTTTGGGGAGGTAGTTGCACTGCGTGCCGACAGCCGCGCAACTTGCTTTCCAGCAGGGTCTTGAGCTTCGCAGCCGTGTCATGACTTTTCAACTGGCTGCACAATCCCTAAACCCTAAACCCTAAACCCTAAAACCTAAACCCTAAACCCTATATAAACCCTAAACCCTAAACCCTAAACCCTAAACCCTAAACCCTCGGAGTCATCCTCCACCACCAAAAGGTTCTGGTCGTTTATTGCAGGTCCATTTCTGGGGGGTGCTCCTGACTGCGATTAAGCTTTGCATTTTATCGGACTGCTCGGGCATGTAGGGAGGGGCTTCGAGGGTTTTCAGCCTAGGGTTTAGGGTTTGTTTAGGGTTTAGGGTTTAGGGTTTAGGGTTTAGGGTTTAGGGTTTAGGGTTTAGGGTTTAAGGTTTAGGGTTTAGGGTGTAGGGTTTAGGGTTTAGGGTTTAGGGTTTAGGGTTTAGGGTTTCGGGCTACTGTGAAGAGCCAACCCCCAAAGACACCCCGAGCCTGGACGAGGGATGTGGCTCGAGCCTGGCGATGGCATGCATGAGCAGAACCTTATCCCTAAACCCTAAACCCTAAACCCTAAACCCTAAACCCTAAACCCTAAGATGTTCCCCCATTATGCAGTCCTTAATCGGGATTATGATAGGGTCTCCATTAAGGAGCTGTTAGTATAAGGATAAAATCCCAACCTAAACCCTACAGTCTAAGATGTATTCAACATACCTCTTGGGCATACCCTTAAAGGAAAGTAGGGGTTGGGAAATTCCTTCCTCATATTCTCCGTTTATAGGTTCAGGTGTATGGCTTTGGGGCATGCTGAAGTACACTTAGACTTAGATACAAGGGCAGTTCCGGAAATAAGGGTCCCGTTGCAGGTCCCGAACATATAGTACGGCACCCTTAAGATAAGGACCCCAACAGGGGGGAGACCCTAACTTACAGAACTAACCCTAAACCCTAAACCCTAAACCCTAAACCCTAAACCCTAAACCCTAAACCCTAAACTACCCAAAAGCTGCAACTGACTTAGCCTGATGAATCCATGAGAACGAGGTGGTTCTGGCCCCCGAAACACCAATGTACCTCATGTGTGCTTGGCGTGTGCTGAGTGTGCGGATCCATGAGCTCATGGGTGATGTCCGTCGGAGGGGGGTTAGGGTTTAGGGTTTAGGGTTTAGGGTTTAGGGTTTAGGGTTTAGGGTTTAGGGTTTAGGGTTTAGGGTTTAGGGTTTAGGGTTTAGGGTTTAGGGTTTAGGGTTGAGGGGAAACATAACAAAACAAAAACACCGCCACTTGTTTTGGCCCGCCACAAGAGGGTGAGGCGCAGAATAGTAGTACAATCACTCTATACCATTGCCTGACAAGAACGGCTGCACTGTACGAAACTCGGCCCGATGCCAGAGGTGATTGACTCTAAGTGGCTATACATGCGCGCATACAAGCCTCACTTGGTCTTGCGCTGCTTCCGGGCAGCTTTCGATGCCTCATGAACCTGCTTGTCGGTGTACTTCGCCTGCTTGAGCTCATCCTTCGTGAACGCGTTGACTAAGGCCACGATGTCAAACCGGGCTTCCCTGAGCTGGGATGCCGTGAACTGCGCCTTCTTGAGCTCCTCAGGCGCAAAGCCTGCCTCCCAGAGGGTCCATGTGTATTACTATGATGGAATTAGGTACCAAAAAACCATACTAAACAGGGTTTTGGGGTACCTATAATTCCATAATGGTACTACAAGTGGACCCTCTAGGCCTCTTTGAAGGTGACCGCAGCGGCGTGCTGTCCCAAGAACCTCCTCAGCTCCACGGCACTGAAGCGCGCGAGGCGCAACTCCCGCAGGCTGTACCCCACGTGGAGGACTTCCTCCCTGCTGAAGGCCTGCAGCAGCTCCTCCGGTGGGAAGTATGGCCGGAGTTCCCACACGTCGTACCCGTTGCGCTGTAGCACCTTGCAGTCGTAGCCGGCTTCACGGGTGAGCTGCTCCAAGGTGAAGCCGTCTTTGCGAAGGTAGATTCCGCCACGGGCGAGCTCCTGGATCGTAAAGCCGGCCTTGTGGAGTTCCATGTTTGGAAAGCCGGCTTTCTGCAAGGCCCCGCAAGGGAAGCCGAGAGCTATAAGCCTCGGCAAGGGGACGCCGGCCTTGGAGAGCTGCTTGGCAGTGAAGCCAGCAGCCTTCAGCTTGTCTAAGCCTTGGGGTAGCCCAGTAACCATATTACAATAAGGGCACCCTTTTTTGGGGTTGGCTACTCTAGAAGGGAACCTTGAACCCAAGAAAGGGAAAAGGCTACCATTGGGCTACCAAGAAGCAGTAGCCGCCTGCCACAAGCCCCTCTGCTTCGAAGCCAGCCTTCTGCAACGCGTCCAAGGCGCAGCCAACAGATGCCAAGTCATCAGCACCTTAGTTTGTCCAGTAACCTGGGGGAATTCAAGGTTAACCTTGGGGATTATAATCCCTAAATCCTAAACCCTAAACCCTAAATTATAAGGGGACTATACTACCCCAAAACGGTTAAAGGTTACCTGCTCTACTACTAGGGCACCATAGCCGACTTCACAGAGTTCCTCTAAGCTGAAGCTCGGCAGCAGCTGGAAGAGATAGAAGCCCACGGCTCTGAGGTCTGCGGCTGTGCAGCCAGCACCCTTCAGTTCTTCCGGACCACATCCTGCACCTTTCAGGTCCGGAAGCTCGAACTCAAGAGCAAGGAGCTGCTGTGCCGTAGAGCCATTCTGTCTGCGAAAGTACGCCTCCAGTTGCCTGCCTTTCGCCGGGACAAGCTGCCGGATCTGCCGTGGCCTCATGCTTTCCAACAGCTCGCACACATCGTAGTGTGCACAAACCTCCTCTCTTCTGACAGGGAACATCAAGAGGATCGGCACGGGGATCCTCAATTTCTTGAAGACCCTCACAGCCTGCCGGCCACTGTGAAGGACTTGACATGCGATCTCATGATCGGGACACAGCAAGCGCAAACTCGAAGCTGCCACGCCAAACTCGAGGAGAAGCATGCCGAGGCGACCAAGAACTTCCTGGGCCTTGCTTGACATTGCGACTCCCTAGACCCCTGGGTGGAATATCGGGACAGCAGCGTGTTTGCGGTCTGAGAGCTGTTGGCGGCTGCAAGTTGAACCCTAAACCCTAAACCCTAAACCCTAAACCCTAAACCCTAAACCCTAAACCCTAAACCCTAAACCCAACATGTGCCCGATTGACATGCATTGCTTGCACGAGGCGAGGATCCTAGAACCCGCAGGATGAGGGAACAAAAAGGATAAAGGGTATGGGGTTTAGGGTTTAGGGTTTAGGGTTTAGGGTTTAGGGCTTAGGGTTTAGGGTTTAGGGTTCAAGGTTTAGGGTTTAGGGTCTAGGGTTGAGGGTTTGGGGTTTGCAAGGTTTAGACCCACGAGTAAGCTACCAGGAGTAAGCTTTGAATGGAAAGGGTGCCCTTTTGGTGCAAAAGAGATTCTGAGGGAACCTAAACCGCCAAAACAATGAACAAGTGCCTGCTTCTGGCTCCAAGTAGCCCTCAACCCTAAACCCTAAACCCCAAACCCTAAACCCTAAACCCCCTAAAAGGGAATAAGGGCCTACTCTGGGTCCTAGTTAGGCTGCGGCATCGCTCTCCCAACCGAAACCACCTGTTCATTCCGAATCCCGAACTGGTCGGCTGCTCCGGGCTTCTATGCTAGGGTTTAGGGTTTAGGGTTTAGGGTTTAGGGTTTAGGGTTTAGGGTTTAGGGTTTAGGGTTTAGGGTTTAGGGTTTAGGGTTTAGGGTTTAGGGTTTAGGGTTTAGGGTTCAGGGGTTAAGGGGTTAAGGGGTTAAGCGGTTAAGGGGTTTAGGGGTTTAGGGGTTTAGGGTTAAGTTTAGGGTATAGGACTTGCCGGAAATCCGACCCCCAAAAACCTGATGGCTACCACACGACGAGGGTAATTAGGGGTAATCGTAGGTTCCCTCTATAATCGATAATCCTTTGAGGGTTTGTACAGGGAAGATGAGCTACCTCATCCCCATCCCTACTCAGAACCTCTTAACCCCAAACTTGGGGGGGATATCAGGTATGTAATTCCGTCAGGCTTAAGCCTCATCATCGCAAAACAGCTAACCCTGAACCCTCGCGCAACCGCCTACGTGAGGCCTTCCACGAGTTTAGCCCCTCAAAGCACCCCCAACACCCAGCCCTAAACTCTGAACCCTAAACTGCTTAGGGGAACGGGTTAAGGTTCAGGGTTCAGCCCTCCGCCCCCCCCCCCCCCCCCCCCCCCCCCCCCCCCCCCCCCCCCCCCCCCCAAACCCACCCCCCAAATCCCCCCTGCAATCCATCGGCCTCAGGAAGAGAAAACTCGCAGGCCGCTGACCTTGGGAGAGCATGAGATGCTTGCATTCATCCTGCGGTTTAGGGTTTAGGGTTTAGGGTTTAAGGTTTAAGGTTTCAGGTTGGCAGGGAATGAGGAACTTCGGCACCTTCTATCCCCCTTTATGTGTACCGGATTCCCTACTAAGAACACAACAAAAATGCAACAACGATGCGCGTGTGTGTTTGCATACATACATATACATACATACATACGTACGTACATACATACATACATACATATATATATATATATATATATATGCATACTTCTACTTGCCTCGATGTTGAGTTGGCTTGGCTTTGCTTGGCTTACCGTGCTCATGCTTTGTTCATGTGATTGATTCGTCCTTCTTTAGTGTGCTGGTGTGCTGCTGCGGCTTGGGCCCTAAACCACCCTAAACCCTAAACCCTGACCCCCCTGAACTTGTCTTAAGGTTGTTGCTGTTGGGTTTGCGTCCCAGTACACGAGACGTGGAAGGGGTTCTGCTGCGCGTGCAGGACCTTCTGGGTCAGGGCTTGGCGTTTAGGGTTGAGGGGGGCGTAGGGTTTAGTTCATGCGTATATGCGGTTTTCCAAGAAGTCTCGCACGCACTCCAAGGGGCAGGGGGGCCAGCCAGCAGCCAGGGCCGCAGGGGCCAAGTGAGGAATGCCAAAGGGCCCAGGGGCCAGGAGAGTGAAGCCATGCCTCCCTCACGCAGGGCTTCCATACACAGGCACGGCAGGTCCTGAAACTCAGTGGATGCCGTAGGTGAGTACCAGATTCTGGGGCGAACATACCCTCAAGGCACCATCTTCTTGGTGAGCTGTGGCCGCCGCGACTTCTGTTCCACCGAAGGCCGCCGGGTTTAGGGTTTAGGGTTTAGGGTTTAGGGTTTAGAGGTTTAGGGTTTAGGGTTTAGGGGTTCGGGTTTAGAGTGTTCCGAAGGGTCCCACACACCAAAGCTGTGCCTGTGCCGTGGATCAACCACTGCGGGTCAGCAAAATTCAAGGACTTGCTTGTGGCAGTGCATTTGCTTAGGCTCGTTTATTCAGGTTCTTGAACGTCAAACAACCCTGAACCCTAAACAGGGTTTTTTTAACCCTAAAAAAAGCCCTACATGCTTGATGACCTTGTGCCCACTAAACTCCAAACTTACTCTAGACCCTCCTTGAGCAATCACTACGTTGCCGAAGGCGTCCTCACTGTACATTGCAGTGGGAAGCTCACAGTTTGTATGGTTCCTTAACACAGAACTATATTTCTTGTCCCATATCAGCAGAAGCAGCTATTGTCGTAAATCGCTAGGTCTCCCTCAACTCCGGCAGCTCTTCATGCTAGGGTGGGTAAGCCGCAAAAGGGTCCAGGGCTCAGGGTTAGGGTTTTAGGGTTTTGGGCAAACCCTAACCCTAAACCCTATAAGCCCTAAGCCCTAAACCCTAAACCCTAAACCCTAAACCCTAAACCCTAAACCCTAAACCCTAAACACCACACCCTAAAACCGCATGTTAGCCTTCTCATGGCGTGCCTTTTTCGAGTCTCGATGATGTCGACCTGATCGCTGACTGCCTCAATGATGTCCTCTACAACCTGAAGCAACAAGGGCTTAGGGTTTAGGGTTTAGAGTTTAGGGTTTAGGGTTTAGGCTGTATGGTTTAGGGTTTAAGACCCTGAAGCCGGCAACCATGCAACCCTACCACCCTAAGCCCCAAACCCCTAAATCCTACAACCCTGAAAAGCCTAAACTGTCACCCCCCACCCCCAGCCCCACAACCCCAATCTCATGAGGGGGACTAGCGTATAGGGTTTCAGGTCCTTACTCTGGCTGGCAAGTGTATACATTGTTTCCTTCGACGTGTTCAGCATACATGGAAGGTCCTTCGGCCCTAAACCCTAAACCCTAAACCCTAAACCCTAAACCCTAAACCCTAAACCCTAAACCCTAAACAGTGCTGAACCCTAAACCCTAAACCCTAAACCCTAAACCTTAAACCCTAAACCCTAAATCCTATCAAAAGCCCTGTCGAGCCTCTGATTAGCGGAAGCCCCTTGAAGCCCATCGCCCTCAAAGGCCCTGCAAAGCCTGTCTGACAGGAAATTGCACACCCGAAGGCCCTCTCCACGCAAGCACCCCAAATAAACCCTTAACCCTTAGCCCGTAAGCCCTACACCTGAAGCCATAAACCCTAAACCCTAAACCCTAAACTGCAAACTCAATGCCTCGTCGATGATCCGGTACGGAAATGGCAACAAGTCCAATGCGCCATCTGGGTTCACCTCCATACCCCCGGTGCTCGGGCTTCAGACTTTAGGGTCTACCGGGTGTTTAGGGTTTAGGGCGTTCTGCTTTAAGGGTCTACAGGGGTGTTTAAGATTCAGGGTTTAGGGCTTAGGGCGTTCTATCAGGCTTGAGTCTTTCGGGTTTGAGGTTTGGGGCTTAGGAGTATGCGATTGTGCTGCCTCCCAGACACTCAACCGTTCTCTGCAAGCCCGCTGGTGGAAGCCCCTTACCTCCTGCAACCCGCCAGCAGCTCCCAAACAAGCGAGTGCAGCACCCTACTTTGGAGTAGACCCAGGCAGAAGCAGCTAGAAAAGAAACCCAGAAAAATTTTCTAAGTGCAGTACTCCAAAACCCAGCTACAAACCCTAAACACTAAACCCTAAACCCTAAACCCTATAACCCTATAACCCCCCCAAAAAAGTATTAAAGTATGTCTAGCACTCCAAAACCCAGAGTAGCTCTCTGCCCAGCCTTTTGCCATGTGAAGGCCATGCCTGTCGAGTAGGGTGCTCGGGGTTTAGGGTTTAGGGTTTAGGGTTTAGGGTTTAGGGTTTAGGGTTTAGGGTTTAGGGTTTAGGGTTTAGAGTTGAGGTTTGGGGCATATAGGCACCAAACCCTGAACCCTTAACCCAAATATGGGCGGTTCCGGAACACAGGGGTACCTTATTGGGGGTGCTTGGTTTAGGGTTTAGGGTTTAGGGTTTAGGGTTTAGGGTTTAGGGTTTAGGGTTTAGGGTTTAGGGTTTAGGGTTTAGGGTTTAGGGTTTAGGGTTTAGGGTTTGGGGTTTGGGGTTTAAGGTTTAGGGTTTAGGGTTTAGGGTTTAGGGTTTAAGATTTAGGGTTTAGGGTTTAGGGTTTAGGGCTACAAAGGGGTCCTACTATTTCAGGGGGCTTTTTCTTAGAGGGGCCCTTTCTGATCGTAAACCCCCATATGGTTCAGGGAGGTCAGGGCACCGACCCAATGTCTCTGCCACGTTAGGGTTTAGGGTTTAGGGTTTAGGGTTTAGGGTTTAGGGTTTAGGGTTTAGGGTTTCGGGTTTGGGTTCAGGGGCCCTCAACACCAGCTAACCTCCCCTGAAAACCCGAAACCCTAAACCCAGCAACGATCCCGGCCTTGACAGCTGGCGCGCCGAGGCTTTCGGATTTCTCCAACCCTCTTGCGCTTACAAGGGCTGGTGAGGGCTTAGGGCGTAGGGTTTAGGGTTTGGGCCTGGATGGGTTGCAGAGCTTGGGTTGACAAAGGCCCCTAACTGCAGAAATCCTCGGGCTTGTGGTGTTTTGCAGGGTTTCGGCCACGACGACTTCTGGCTGCACGTCGACCTTGGACACAACGAAGCTCTTGGAGTGCGATCTGATTTGACTCATGGGGGGGCCACATGGCTGCACAAACTTGTAGGGTTTATAGGTTTTTTTGGTTTAGGGTTTAGGGTTTA